GAATCACTGCTGGGGTTGCAGTGTAAAGAAGGTCAATCTGGTCGTGTGAAAGACGGCGATCAAAGGGAGATCCAACAGTTTTGTGTCATTTGAAGGATGGTCCAGCGCTTTGCACACACATACACGACATCCAAACCTAACAGGCTGCTGAGGCTACACACCATCTAAGCCTAAGCACTGCATTCCTCCTTTCCTTCATCATTCCCAAAGCTTGTTATATTTCAACGCCGCGGCGATGGGCTTAGGACGAGCGCTCTTTTCAATGCTGCCCCTAGGGGCCTGCTGTGTTCACAGAACAAGTACGCAGCTGTACCCAGTGTTTAGTGGTACCCTGCAAGACACCAATAAAAATTACCCAGGTCTTCTTGAATTTCGTTACATGGTCATCATCGGTCGCGGGGTGGGGAGGCAACCGCAAACTGGTAAGACCTGGTAAGACAGACATATTTTTCCGTCCACGTTTCGCGGATATACATCGTGCTGAATAACGTTGGATAAAGAAGAAAACAAAGCAGCTCGAGGAAAAACTGACAAAACAAATCAACAAAAACAAATCAATCGAGGCTGCCCAAAATCGATTGGATGCTATTGCACCCATTTTCGGTGTGAAATCTGTCTTGTTTCCCGCGCCCGAGGGCCAGTCGCTGTTGGCGCGTTCCCTTGCTTTGTCGCATTTATGCAGCTTTGCTCACCGCTTTCAATGTGGAACTGCCAAGTGCTGAGCTTATGGTGTAACATGTTCTTCAATTTTCAATATTTTCCAAACTACCATCAAACATTTCCATCAATCAAACAGGGATCAGTTCGCTTAGAGGTTTTCAATGGTTTTCAGAAAGGGCCATCGAAGCAACATCCACCTTGCAATTGAACAGCAATGACAGACTTGATCTGACCATTGATTCTGCATGTTTGTCATGCGTTTCTTGGCTCAGACAGTGCAAACGCCTTCGCAACACCTCGTCCATCATTTCCTTCTTCTTTGACACCATGGGCCTTGAGGCACATTTGCAGCATGCGTCTCTCTTGAAGAAGGTCGCTGAATCTATGAAGGACTTGTTTCTTGCAAGCAATCGCACATATCATATCCTTTTAAATGAATGCTGTTGAGGAAACTGATTCAGTTGGTCCATTCTTTTACGAAGGTTGCTTCATGTGCACGTGCTGCGAACATGGAGGGTTGGATGGAGTAAGGTGCAAGGACGTGAACTTTGACTGCTCCGAGAAGGGCATTGAGGTGCAATGCATGGACAGCTCACATGTAGCATTGGTCTCCGTGCTGCTGCGAGAGTCTGCCTTCGCTGAGTTATTGAGCCACATTTGAGCACATTGATTCTCATTTGTTTTTTTCTGGATTGTCGGATTCCTGTCAGTTTGAAACCACAACGTCAATGAAAAATTGCCTCAAAAATATGAATATGGTGCAGTAAACATATACTCATATGCTCATTGAATTTTTTTGAACATGCCGGGATCCACCACTTTGGATTCTTGGCAAACTCAGTTTCAAGGTTCAAGTGTGACCGTCCAGTGTCGCTTGGTATGAACATTGACTCGTTGACCAAGATCCTGAAGATGACAAGCGCCAATGACTCGTTGAAGATTCGACACCAGACAGATGCCGACACAGTCAACTTCCAGTGTGAAGGCTCAGATGATCGCATTGCTGACTTCGATTTGAAGCTCATGCAAATCGAGAGCGAACATATGGAAATCCCGGAGCAGCACTACAAGGTTGTCGCAAAGTTGCCTTCTTCTGAGTTTCAGAAGGTTTGCCGTGACTTGAAGGAGTTTGGTGAGACCATTCAGATCAGTGGCAGCAAAGAAGGATTGAAATTCATGGTGCAGGGTGATTTGGGCAGTGGCAACGTGATGTTGAAGCCTCGTGAGGGAGAGAAGCCTGAGGAGAAGGTATCACTCACAGTCCACGAGCCAGTCACTGCCACTTTTGCACTTCGCTATTTGGTGAACTTTGCAAAGGCCTGCAGAATTGAAAAGACCAGTTTGTGTTCAGTCAGTCTGATCGATTCCTGCCAAATAGGTGCATTGCACTGCATGCAGATGCTGACTCAGTATACTTGTAGCAAAAGTTGTAACAATCATGTATACAACTAGGGAGCATTTGTTAAATGATCGCATAGACTGCGGCACTGCTTGGCGCAAACAGGCAGAGAAGCTTTGTGGTTCCGTCGAATTGGGTCTTAGTCCTGATGCTCCCTTGCTGGTGAAGTATGACTTGGAGACCGCAGACAAGGGGCACATGCAGTTCTACCTTGCCCCAAAGATTGACGAGTGATAAAGTTGCTTTGGTTCAGTATCACAGCATGCGTGGTGCTGTTGCTGGAAGACAGCAGCATTTTAGCACGCAATGCCGTGTATGTTTTGAGTGTAGTCAAGCGCTGCTTGCGAAGGGAATCACTGCTGGGGTTGCAGTGTAAAGAAGGTCAATCTGGTCGTGTGAAAGACGGCGATCAAAGGGAGATCCAACAGTTTTGTGTCATTTGAAGGATGGTCCAGCGCTTTGCACACACATACACGACATCCAAACCTAACAGGCTGCTGAGGCTACACACCATCTAAGCCTAAGCACTGCATTCCTCCTTTCCTTCATCATTCCCAAAGCTTGTTATATTTCAACGCCGCGGCGATGGGCTTAGGACGAGCGCTCTTTTCAATGCTGCCCCTAGGGGCCTGCTGTGTTCACAGAACAAGTACGCAGCTGTACCCAGTGTTTAGTGGTACCCTGCAAGACACCAATAAAAATTACCCAGGTCTTCTTGAATTTCGTTACATGGTCATCATCGGTCGCGGGGTGGGGAGGCAACCGCAAACTGGTAAGACCTGGTAAGACAGACATATTTTTCCGTCCACGTTTCGCGGATATACATCGTGCTGAATAACGTTGGATAAAGAAGAAAACAAAGCAGCTCGAGGAAAAACTGACAAAACAAATCAACAAAAACAAATCAATCGAGGCTGCCCAAAATCGATTGGATGCTATTGCACCCATTTTCGGTGTGAAATCTGTCTTGTTTCCCGCGCCCGAGGGCCAGTCGCTGTTGGCGCGTTCCCTTGCTTTGTCGCATTTATGCAGCTTTGCTCACCGCTTTCAATGTGGAACTGCCAAGTGCTGAGCTTATGGTGTAACATGTTCTTCAATTTTCAATATTTTCCAAACTACCATCAAACATTTCCATCAATCAAACAGGGATCAGTTCGCTTAGAGGTTTTCAATGGTTTTCAGAAAGGGCCATCGAAGCAACATCCACCTTGCAATTGAACAGCAATGACAGACTTGATCTGACCATTGATTCTGCATGTTTGTCATGCGTTTCTTGGCTCAGACAGTGCAAACGCCTTCGCAACACCTCGTCCATCATTTCCTTCTTCTTTGACACCATGGGCCTTGAGGCACATTTGCAGCATGCGTCTCTCTTGAAGAAGGTCGCTGAATCTATGAAGGACTTGTTTCTTGCAAGCAATCGCACATATCATATCCTTTTAAATGAATGCTGTTGAGGAAACTGATTCAGTTGGTCCATTCTTTTACGAAGGTTGCTTCATGTGCACGTGCTGCGAACATGGAGGGTTGGATGGAGTAAGGTGCAAGGACGTGAACTTTGACTGCTCCGAGAAGGGCATTGAGGTGCAATGCATGGACAGCTCACATGTAGCATTGGTCTCCGTGCTGCTGCGAGAGTCTGCCTTCGCTGAGTTATTGAGCCACATTTGAGCACATTGATTCTCATTTGTTTTTTTCTGGATTGTCGGATTCCTGTCAGTTTGAAACCACAACGTCAATGAAAAATTGCCTCAAAAATATGAATATGGTGCAGTAAACATATACTCATATGCTCATTGAATTTTTTTGAACATGCCGGGATCCACCACTTTGGATTCTTGGCAAACTCAGTTTCAAGGTTCAAGTGTGACCGTCCAGTGTCGCTTGGTATGAACATTGACTCGTTGACCAAGAT